AACAAAATTTCATTCGCTATAGGGGTAGTACGTTTCTTCAAAGGATCATTTCGATTCACGCAGGATCTCTTCTTGTCATGCACACGGAATAACCGTACCTCATTAAAATGCTCTAAGCGGGGCGCATGCGCGCGATGAATTTCTCCCGAAGTAAGGACCAATCGGAAGCCGCCACGTGTGTGTGTGTGTGTGTATAGTTGATGAATAATTCAAAGTTTTTGTCGTCGACTACTTGCCATGCTCTTTCCTCCTCGACGTCTCGACGAACGAATAGTAAAAGAAACAGAAAGAAATAGAAGAAGAAGAAGAATGGGGTTCCGACTTTTTTCCAATTTTTTCTTTCCGATGTTTTGTTGTTGTTCATTTACCCTTTTCCGATTATCGCCTAAGTTGCGCCTAAGTTGCATCTAAATTGCAACTTTTCCCAATTGGAAAAAACAGCAGTAAACTCGTATTATCATCATCGTGTCGCAACATTTTATTGTACGCGATAATTCCTGTGAAGGCCGCTAACGAAACTAATTGGGTGTAACGACACTCCGTCATAAGCTCGACTCACACTGCCTTGACAATAGTTTTTTTTTTTTTTTTCTTTTTTTTTTTACAACGCGCTTATCGTATAGTCTCCCACCCTTTTTTCCTCATCGTTTCTCGAGTCGACGTCGAACGATTGGAGCGATTAGGCCCGCATAATAGGGATTGTCTCTTTGATCTCGATTGTTCTCGAAATATATCTCGAGAAGAGTATAATAACTCTTTTCATTGTGAAAATCACATTTTAAAGGGACGTTTTTTTTCTTTTTCAAATAATTTTTCTAATCACGGTATCACAGAATCGTTTGACTAGATAAAGCAACGGCCTGCGCGTGGAAAAATTTGATGAAAAAAACGTCATATCGGTATGTTGAACTTTAGCTAAGCGATCATCATTATCATCATCATCATCATCATCGTAGTAGTAGTTCAAATCGTAGTCCACATCGTCGTAGCCGTTATTGCGTCGTCCCAACCAACAGCTCGAATGCGATCGTGGTGGCGTTGATGGTTTTTGATTGGCCGGAAGTGACGTCACGTCACGACACGCATCGCGAGTCGTCTACTCGCATTAATCCCGTAACAGCTCGCAAGTTCTCTCTCGTATACGCCATACGTATTGAAGGATAATACACCGTAAGGAAGATGCACCACAAATCTTCTTTTACTTTTCCTAGTTTTCTTTTGAAATGACCGAAAAAAGAAGTAAGGTGCTTTCTTTACCTGAAACATTTCTAGAGATATCGTTAAAGTTAACAAATTTTATCGAGGTGATAGGAGAGGAATAATATTACATAGCGGATTCGATCGGCAAACTGACGGACTGTTGCGGTTTTTCAGCGCAACACGTAAGAATCCTACGTGGTTTCGATTGGGTGAATAAGATTGGTTGGGTCAGTGAAAGGCGAAAAGGAGACGCGTAAAGAAAACATTCAAATTCGACTGGGAAAGAATCCTCTCCCCCATCTGAGTTAAAAGATATTCTCCACGTTTTGGATGTTACGGACTCTATAGAGTAGCTTGGATAGTAGGAATCGGTAGTAGAACGGGGGGAGGGAGAGGAGGCAGCCTTTATGACCCCTCTGAAGCAGCAAGCAGGCAGCGGTGGTGGCAGGCGATAGGCGGGCAGAAACGGTCGAGTAGCGTGGGCCTTTGTGCCCGAGAGAGGATGGCTCCGTGCCAAAATCCGTCTACGATCCCTTCGTTCCATGGTTCCGTACTAACGGTCCTGCGAAAAGGAGCCTTTGCAAAATAATCGTCTCGATAATCTCTTTTTTTCTCTCTACGAGTATTTTTTTAATCTTCGTGTTCGCGACCGAATAACAGCGTTAAACCTATTTCTTCAGTTACCTATTATATATTGTATTATTTTTATATGTCGTTTAACAGAGGAAAAATTTGATAAGAGAGCTGTTGGTTGGTATTGGAAGAAAGGGAGGATTCCCTTTTGTAAAAGAAGGCTAATACTATTTCACAATATGGGCAGAGGGGAGAGGACTCCGTGCTATTTCCACAGGGATAATAATTTTACATTAGATTAGTGGTTCTCAAATCTTTTTGAAAGACCTTCGTTGGCAAACGAGAAGTAAAATTTGAGGAGGAATGCTCTCGGTCTCGAACCTCTTGTTCAGGAATAACCAAACGAAAGGAATTTCAATCGTTTCTGAAGTATCTGCAGTATCGTCCAATTTTTCTCTTTCAGTATGCGCCTACTATGTTGGACGTTATCGGATCGCGTTCGTTCGAGTTAATTAATAATCCCTCGTTTATTTCTTTTGAACGTTAGTCGCTGACTAATTCTCGTGGCAAGAAAACAATGAGATGAACGATGCATCTCTTGTCTCTTTACTCATCGAGACGTTTGATTCTTGATATATTATCCAAGTATTTAACACTTTTCCGTGCTGAGTTTAAATGAATTTCCATTAAATTCATTTAGGATAATTCGGTCGTACGAGTCGCCTAACGTTGGACTGTGATTAAGATTGAATGATTTCATATTAAGAGAGTTATTAATAGTCTCGGTTTTTCTCTTGGCTCGGTTTCAAAATCTTATTACGTCGACTTTTCTTCTCTGGTACGTGCACCGGAAGGAAAACCCCCTTCGTTCGCGGTCTGTCTCACGATCCCTGTCTCTTTTATTTTTCCTTCGCGAATTTATGAGGATCTAGACGACGAAATTGCAATAATCATCGGTCGTAGCCGGGATACGAGAGAGGATCGTTAAACGGCTAGGTTATTCACGTAATCGCGTAAATTATCCTCACTGGTCGTTGCTACATTTCGTTAAACAGTTTTTGAATCTTTCCTTTGGATTTACAGCTTTTCGTCTATTTTTACGCGAATTAGTATTGCTAAATTTGTCGTTGCGAGAGAATCTAAAGAGATGGAAGAGACAAATTATGAATATTTTCTCTAAATCTCTTTCTTTTCGAGCAAAAATAATTGATTATTAGCAACGTTTCTCGTAGTTTTTTCCAATATAAAGATAAAGAAAATAAGATACGTCCAGAATGGCTTTCATCGAAACAAATATCCATTGTCGGACGAGTATGAACAAATATAGCGTAGAATTACCAAAGCATGAATAAATGTAATCAGGTCGCTGGAAGCGGTGCTGCTTTAATACGGATCAACACGGATTTTCTTCATTACAATTTGGATTCGATTACCTTTGGAATTTATTTTTCTCGCTTTTACTCTAACGTTTGTATATATTTCTTGTTCGTTATACGTCAACAAAATCGAAATAAAAATTTATGTCTTTCCCCAACCGTAACTCTGGAAAAGAGAGAGAGAGAGAGAGAGAGAAGGGGAGAAGAAGATACATATATCTCTCTGCTTCTATTTATTATTAAAGTTGCATTTAAGGTCGTCCTCGTCCTCGTCCTCGTCCTTGTTTGGATCGGCGAATATCTATCGGTAAAGAGATGGGAAAGGAAAAAGATTACTTACATTTGCGGAAAGTCAAGGATAGAAGTTGCGGACGACCTTTGGGCCGTGTTCTTAACGAAACCGGAGTGGCTCGTTTTAATCGCGTGCCAGATGCTTTGAGATATTCAAAACTAGCGTGGTCGGTAGCGTCGTTGTTAATCTTCCGAAGCATCCTCCTTTCTTCCCGCTAGCTTCAATAAAATCTAAAACTTAAGTACGTCGTTCTTGAGTAAGATGCGCAAAAGATCGTTAATGTTTCCAGTAAATAATTTTGCCGTTCGTGCAAACTGGCAATTGGTTTCTCGTTATTCGACCTGTAGACAAAAAAAAATCATTTAAATTTGTAGCAATCGAATAAATATTTTTCGCAACGCAGCACCGTTGTACAATCGCGTATTATATCTTCCGTATCTTGTGATCGTTTCTCTCACACGAGAAGAAGCATACGTACTTGCATGCATACAAGGCTGACGAACGACGACGACGTATGCGTGCTAACCATCTCAATTATTTAATTCCGCTACGAGTAAGCGAAAACCGTCGATATCCCCCTCGTTCGTTTCTCTCTTTGCTCTCGACTAAAAACGATTTTGCTTGTGCGATATTTCCCATTTCACATGCTGCTTAACTCATCGATCCACTTACACGCACGTAGCTAGCAGCACACCATCTACATTTATTTCCCTTCTGTGTGCCACCTTCTGCGCCAATATGCAAATGTCTACTATTTCTTTGTATGCGGATAGTAGGCGATAATATAAGACGAACTACCGTGTTCGTCCTTCTAATCTCGTTTAAACGAACATGTTTCTTGTTAATCCACGTCCGAAAGTAGTCGCCAGAAGTAGTAACCAACTAGTCTTCTTCGCTTGGAAAACTCTTTCTCTTTTGGTATTTCGACCATAACGAACGCGGTCAATTGAAAAAGATCGTACAAACTTAGCTCCTAGATGAGAGAGAGAGAGAGAAAGAAAAAGAAAAAAGAAAGAGTCACGGAAACTCAACCTTAAGGTGAGATTTATCGCGACTAATTTATTCCGACTCCGAGTATTACTCGCCTTCTCGAATTCGAGCGGCTATTTAAAGAGCCATTTTCCAGGCATCATCTCTTTTTTTTTTTCTTTTTGCTTCTTTCTCAAGGGAAAAACGAAACGAGCGCAAAGTGGAAAGGCGAAACGGTTACTCTAGGATATTATTGCACAGGTACACATTTATTTAGAGATGAAGCGAGCCCACTGACGTGGATGTAATATCTTTCTACTAAATGTTATCGCATTTATCTCTTTCTTCATCTTTATATTTCTTGGTCTATGTGGAAGAAAAATATTGATATTTAATCGTACGCGTCGTGGCGAGTTAGAGAGAGAGAGATAGACTCCTATGGAAACTAGCCAATAAAGTGTCGTCTTCGCGACGGTCACGGTGAGAGTAATTGTCTTCAAACTTAAAACCCATCCCGGTCATTATCCTTTACCAATGTAAATATGACAAAATAGTATTTAATAATATTTGACTAAATTTGTCCGTTTCAGCATATGGTGCAGACAGGAATGGCTGCGCCGTACGGTGGGGGTGTCTTCCCACCACCGGTAAACGGTGTCGCGGGTGTCGTGGGGGCAGCCGGAGCTGCAGGCGAGGTTAAACCACCTCCGCCGGTCCCGGTTAAGGAAGATAACAGCGGAGCCGGTCAACAGGCTCCTCAAAGTGGGGCCCAAGTAGCAGCCCCAACGAGTGGACCGCATCCTTCGGCACCAGGGCAACAAACAGCAGCCAGTTTTAGTCCACCTCCGCCACCTAATGGCGTCGATCAGCAAGCCATTGTAAGTAAATACAAACGTATTATTAAATTAGAAGATAATTATTAAATTATGATGACTTCACATTGACCTTTAATTAGACGATCCTAAGAAAAACGAAAAACAAAGCGCGTCGTTGGCGGCATAATCAAAATATTGTACATCTGAAGGAATCAAACATAAGTAGATTTCGACGTGAAGGTAACTCACACTCGTACGCTTCCGGTTCGAAATGGGTTTCCCGAAACATCGTTCGTTCCTTCGTTCATTCGTTTCCTAACCTTAGTTTTCATCGCATTATTCTTTACACGTATTCGTAAGGTTGTAATAGAAGTGTGTCCCCGATTCCGCAGCTCCGTTTGCACGACAGTTTTACGTTCTTACGAGCTCTCGAAAGGATATATTGCCGCGTCGAACGATATCGTTCGTCGAGGTCGCTCGAAAACCCTAATCTCGCTCGATCTCGTCCTATTTCGAACGCACGGGATGTTGGGTGGGTGGTAGTGGTGATGGTAGTGGTGGTGGTGGTTTTTCGTGCGTTAGAAGCTTTTTCCTAGGACGCATCATTTTCTCGATTCTAACCATACTCCTCTCGAATTTCTTATTACGATTTCTCGGTATTAAACCTCTATAGATATTACGTTCCGAACATTCAACTCGATAAGAATCTACGTATTATCTATGTTACCTAGCATTACCGGCAATAGATTTAAGATATTATCGTCACGTTATAAGCAAACTCATTGTCAGTCTTAACGCTTGAAATTCTGTTTAAACGCGTTGAACGTGTTGCTTCGGTCTCGTTAGTAGTCTGAACGCGATAAGCCTGACGGCATACCACTTGGGCTGACCACTTTCAACTCTACTCCACTCGACTATGTCGCGAGACGAGAAAACCTACTTTTGTCCGTGAAACAAATCCTTCCCGAACAATTTCTCTATTACTTAATCTAATTTATATTTAAAGTTTTGTCGCGCGCGCGCGCGCACACACATTTTGAGAGCGTAAATCTGGTGAGGAATTCGATTGAAACGGTTCACAAAATGGAGATGTGAGTTTATATTTCGTAATTTATTTATCTCCGAAAAGTCGGAGGTCTTTCAGGCGGCAGTGGCTGCAGCGGCCGCCGCCGCGGCCAACAGTGGTGGACAACAAACTTCTGCAACTCAAGGAGGAAACGAAACAAGCCCGGAAGGAACAGTCGAAGCTGGTTCTCTTGTGCCAGTTACTTCCGGTGCGACGACCCCAGCTACTGTAACGCAATCCACGGATTTGAAGGGGCAACCTAAACGGCTCCACGTCAGCAATATACCCTTCCGTTTTCGAGACCCCGATTTAAGGGCGATGTTCGGGGTAAGTTTAAAAAAAAAACTATTTACCAGGATCTATAATCTCGAAATATTTCTTATTAATTCTTTCTTTTTATTTTAACTTTGTTGCAGCAATTCGGCCCGATCCTCGACGTGGAAATCATTTTTAACGAGAGAGGAAGCAAGGTAAGCTCACGTCGATCTCTAGGCTGCGAGCCACCCCTTTCAACCCGTCCTCGGACATTTAATTCTATTATTCTTATTTATTAAGATAAAAAAAGGATTTCAGTGACCATCGATCGATCATCTTAGCGCTCTCCGAATACGATTAATCTCATTCATCTTCATTTGACATATGATTCGAAACATATTTTCATGTTGACTAATCTGTTCTTTTTGGATCGCCAAGAGATCGATCGACGGGTTTCAGTAAAGGTGCAGCGTCGCGGTAAACATTTCATATTTTTCTTATCAAAATTACTTATTATACTAAAATAAAAAAAAAAGAAATAATAAACTTGATAGAGTATATACGCTCTAAAATAATGAATTCGCGGCTCTGCATCTTCTTTTATTGCTTATTTTTCTTCTTTTTTTCAGAGCGCGTTGGCAACGTTCTCTTTTGTTTGCTCGATCAATCGTCTCGAAATCCGTAACACTGAAAGCAATACTATTGGCAAATCTTAGTCGGATAGGTACTCGCGTAAAAATGTAGGTAGTGGGTAATGGCGTGGAAGAGGATCAAGGGGGAGATAACGGGGCGGATAACGGTGTGTGTAGGGGTTTCGCATCGTGCCTTTCGCGGAAGGTTCGGAAACGTTATGTAAATAGCTTTCAATATGGATGACAGAGGTCTGGATAAGATCCGCAGTAATACATTGTGCCGACAGGCGGCATCCGGTGAGCCTGCATACTCGGCGTCTTTGCGTCAAGTACATACACACGAGTGCACTTAATCAAGTTCCCGTGAAGAGTTGGGAGGAAAACGGCTCTACCAACGGGATACTTGTCCGCCACGCTATGACTATGTCATAGCGAATTGTCTTCGTCGATCGATTATCGACTTTTTTTTTCTTATTCATCCAAGTTTATTTTATCAAAAATTAAATAGAGGAAGAAAACCGATCGTAACTTGACGATAGGACAAATCGTCCCATTGGATTATGAATAGTCACGAAAGTATTATTTCCTTGTAAACTCTTAAACGTGCCTTATTATTTTGATTGTTCGTTTGCCGTTGTAATCGTGCTACTCACGCGACGATCTTTCTTCTCTCTCTCTCTCTCTTTCTCTTTCTCTGTTTCCGTTCTTTTCTCTTTGTATAATAAAGCGTGCAAAGTTCGCATTTCTAAATTCGTCCCCTTGTTTGTTGTATTTTCTTCGTTAGTTAAACATTATTATTACCGCGTCTTCCATCCGGTACGAATTTAATCTCGAACAAAAGTAAGAAAAATGATCAACGATTTTTCTTTTTCTAAATTCCTTTTTTCGATTTTTCAACAAATGAAGGTCCCAGGACGACGAGGATAACTCGAAGATCGTTTAATAAACGAAATTAAATCGTACAAACAAATCATTTTGTTTTAGCGTCGAAAACACTTCCAGCATTACTTCCGATTGATTTACACGCTATTTCTCTTGTCCCAATTAAACTAAAGAAGATTAAATAAATCGGAAGTTTGTAAAAGGCAATCATACTTATTAGTCGTAGATTAAAGACCCGAGTAATGATCGAATAAGCTTCCGTCAGGGCAACGCGACGAACGGGAAGTCGACAGCAAGGTACATCCGTAGTCGTAACGACCAATCATCGACCGAATATGGAACGCAAAGTGGTCCATTTCCATGTTCTGCTTCTCTCAGGAAGTACTCTTAGGAGGGAGGGAGGGAGGGGGGGATTAATTTAACTCCCGTGCAACCGGTCTGCTTTTATCTTCCTGTTCGATCCTTCTCGACGACCTTCTATCGTAAAAAAATATCTTTTCTTTCGATAACGAGACGATCGAGAATTAGAAATAAAAAAAGGGAACATCTTTACGGTATTTTCCATTAAAAATTAATCATTTTTCCCCTCTGAACGATTTCATTCTAATTCAATTAAACGACTTAGATATTTGTTTGTTTTATTTTTAAGAGAACGTTGCCATCGTATTATATAATATAATATAATATAATATAATATAATATATATATTTTCATATATTTTAAGTACGTATATTTCTAATTTGCCTTTGTAAAATGCATCAAGAATTAAACGTTAAGTATTTATTTTTTTTTTTTATTAAAATTTTATTTCAATAATTGACATTACGTATTATTCTATTGTATTTTGCAAAGGCTCATAGGATAATATTTTGAGGAGAGTGTCAAAGTTCACTCGAAGTACGAAAGAGAGTAAGAAAGAGAGGGAGAGATAGAAAGATCGTACGTGTCGTGTGTGCCTGCTGTTTGTCTGGATTTGTGTGTGCGTGAGGAAAGAGTGAGGGAAGGAAAAGAGAAAGAAAGAACATTTTTTTATTTTTTTGTTCCAAAGCTTCGTCAATGTAAATGGAATGTGGCATCCCTAATAAAGTGCAGCATTTTGGAAAAGAACTACGTATCTGCAGAGAGAGAGAGAGAGAGAGAGAGAGAGAAAGAGAGAAAAATATAGAAAGCAAGTGCGACTATCTATCATCTTTTTATTCTTTTTTTTTTTTTATTTCAAAAAAAAAGTAAAAAAAGAAAAGTAAGAAAGGAAATAACGTTTGAGAGTCATTCTTGTCGCGCTTGCTCTCAATTTTGCATATGTGTCCCAGTGACAGACACGTACATACATATATAATATATATATATATATATATATTTATATATTATATATGTATAGACATATAACCAATGGCGTTAGTTCTCTCGTAGTTGTTAGACGAGCTGTTGCATTTTTACTAGCTAGCCTTCCGCATTTTATCGTTATTTTAGTTCCCATTGGTTATATATATATAGAATCGATCGTACCGCCTCTCGTACAATATGCTCGTTAAATAAAGTCAAAAATGTTGAAAAAAAAAAAAA